ATCCAGCAGGCAGGACTGCATCCTAGGAGAGAGATGAGGGCTAGTTTTATAGATTTGAGAGTCATCTACATAGAATTGAACCCATGGAACTGATGAAAGAGAGGACAGAGAGAAAAGGGAAGAGACTAAGATAATGACCAGTTGTAGAAGGCCAGGATTGAGTTAGGTTATGGCACAGTTTCACAGCAAACACAGTGCAGCCAGCCCTTAGAGGATGACCTAAGGGGAGGCACGTCTTCCAATTAATGATCACTTGAGAAAGAGAGGCCTCCTAGGAGTATGTAAGGACCGGCCACCATCTTTTTGGGGGCTTTTCATACCTTTTCTGCCTTGCATACCTAGACTAAGTGCTTCATTGCACCAATCCTGAGTAGAACATGATGATCCTGAAAAGGAGCCTAACAAAGGTCAGTTAGAGGCACCGGGAGAATAGGGAGTTAAGGTGATGAGAACCAAGGGCAGAGAAGGTAAATAGGAAGAAAGGGTGATTAACAATGTCAGCTAGTATAGAAGTCAAGAAGAATGAGGACTGAGAAAGGCCACTGGACTTAGTGATCACAAGATTATGGGTGACCTATTTCAGGTGGGTTTGGGAGACAAACTGTAAGAAACTAAGAAGTAAGAGAGTGATAATAAAATGGGGGCAAAATATGCTTTTTCTGGCAGTTTGGCTATGAAATGGAAGAAAGACATATGACAATGTGTATGACAATAGCTTGAGAGAATAGTCGGATGGTTACTGTGGCAGCACTACCATCCTTCCAGTCACTCAGTTTTATAAGCCTGATGTCATCCTCAACTCTTCTCTCTTGCTCACAAATTGCCAAACTGATTGCCTAATGGATGCTAAGTCTTTTAACTTCTTTCTTTATAACATATCTGGCATGTCTAGTCACACAGTGACCAATGTAATCCAAACCTAATCCATTACCTTTTGTCTGGCCTATTGCAATAATCTTCTAATCGGTCTCCCTGGCTCAAGTCTTTCTCCACTCCAGTCTATCCACCATACAGCTGCCTGAGTGTAGATCTGGTCATGTCACCACCCCTACCCTTATCCGCTCCCCCCCGACACACACTCAATAAACTGTAGTGGCTTCTGATTACCTGTAGGATCAAATATAAACTCTATGCACAGAAATTGATTGCCTTTTTTTTTTTCTTGCAAAGAGCTAGACACAGGTCAGATTTCTGAATTCCCAGGAGAAAGCCTGGATGTAGGAAATACATCATTAATCAATAGGTCAAGGATCTGTGATTTGGTTGGTATAAGCATTCCCTTTCCTGATGCTAATCACAACACGTCTGTAACTTACAGCCTTAGAGAGTTTCTTGAAGTTCAAAGAGATTAAATTACTTGACCATAATCATATAGTGTCACAGATGGGATTTAAAAGTCAAACACACTCTTTACTATGCTATACAAATTCTGGTGGGAAGAAATATTAGCCATACTCTGATAATCTGGGTGAGCCAATATTGAATGACAGCATGAGCCAAAAATAATTTGGCTATTAAGGAAACTCCAGTTACAGGTCATACTGTTTGAAGCCTTAAGTACTGATTACACGAAAAGGCTACCTTCTGAACTCTCTCCTATTCTCTGTGTCAGTTTGCATGATCCTAGTAGTTACTGGTTAGGGGGCTTTAATACCAAGGTTGTCAAAGTGAATCCTTCCTTGATGGTGATTATTATTCTGTAAAACACCACCTGGACAACATCTTCATGGGTCTATTTTAGTAACTCTCCACCTGTTCCCCATTGTACATTATCAACACTTAGAGCATTGATCATGGACTTATGCTAACTCCAAGACTTTGTGATTTAGGTCCTTCTGAATGGTTGGATATATTGAATTTATAATCAATGACCACTTCTATATTAGGTTTATAAAAACAATATACTGTGATTATTATACTCAATATTTCTTGATCTGTAAGATTATATCTTATCATATAGGATTTAATTGTTATAGGCAAGGAAGTAATTTCAGAATCAGCTATATCTGTAATCAGAACACTGATAAGTTAGAACAAGGATCACTGAGAACAATTTATGGTATTACAGGCTTATATATAATACAAAGCATCTTTTTGTTGTTATTCAGACTTGTCTGACTCTTCATGATTCCATTTTGGGTTTTCTTGGCAAGGATACTGGCGTGGTTTTCTGTTTCCTTCTTCAGCTTATTTTATAGTTGAGGAAACTGAGGCAAACAGGGTTAAGTGACTTGCCCAGGGTCACACAGCTAGTAAGTATCTGATGCTGCATTTCAACTCAGGGTCCTCCTCACTCCAGGCCAAGCACCCCATCCACTGTACCACCAAGATGTCCATTCAAACCATCTTTAGCAGAAACTATAGAAATTCAAAAGAGATGGATTTGCCACCACTGATGCTGAAAAAGTCACTATTAATGCTGGAAAAACAAAGTAGATAGAAAATGTATATTATCCTGGATGATGACACAGCTAGAGATGCAGCCCAATGAGTGTGTCGGTCGGTATATTTTGAATAGACACTGCAGACAATGAATCCAGAATTGAGTAGGAGCAGGATCAAGGTGGATCACATTTGGGAAATTACATAATACTTATCACATTCCTAAACTTTTGCAGCTATCAAAACCTATCGTGTTACTCCTAGTATTCACTCAGTGATGCTATATTACTGCCAATCCTGGAACACCAAGAGAATAAAAATTACGAATAATCCAAATAGCAGTGGAAAGCTGCATGGGAGGTATAAGTTGTCAGCATCATGTAACTTGAGGAGTCTGTAGCAGTAACTTGTATATGAGAAGTAGTGCAAGAGACACTTAAGGGAAATGTGACTGGGAAATGAGGTGGGCTCATCATGCAGTGAATATGAAAGGAAAGAGATGAACAGTCTCAGTGGTACATTGACATAGCTAAGAGAAATAAAGAAAATAGAGCAATGCCTTCAACAAGGTAGTGGATCAGAGTTGTAAGAAGATATAGATAAGGATCACACAGGATGAGATGTGAAGGGGTTGTTATATGTATCAATTTGAGAGGGTAGACCAAACCCTTGACACTAGCTGTGTGACCCTGGGCAAGTCACTTAACCCCGATTGCCTAAAAAGAAAAAAAAAACAATTTGAGAGGGTACTAAATGAGAAAAAGCCAGGGCTTCATTAAATATTAAAATTACTAATGAATAGTCATTACCCCATTACATTTCTAAATCCTCATGTTCCATACCAGTATCAATGAAATTATATCAACTTATATTGTAAAAACATTAACCATTGATGCTATTTATCAAGAGACTTTATTTTTCACAAATAAACTGAAAACATATTTTGATTCTTTGTTATTTTTTACATTTGTCAAGTCCTTTCATAATCATTTGAAAGTCCAGAATTTCCCAATGAAAAAGCGAACTCCAGAAGAGTTGAAAGAATTGGAGACCGTTTTACAGCTAAGGAAGCTTCAAGCAGCTGAACTTAAAGTATGGGTTTGAACATGTGTGTGATACCTTTTAACTTAGTCTCCCTTAGTGCTGACTTTAATTGAAATGCAGCGTAAGAGATGTTGAAAATGTCATTTTTGTTAATATTTCCAACTTATTACTTTATGTAACAAATTCTACTGAGTAATATATACTTGTTCACTTAGCATAGATTTTTTTAAAATATGAAAATGAGCACAGTATATGAACTTTTAATTATTTAGTGAGTAGTGATGAAGTATTACCTTTAGTCATTGATACTCTTTTTCCTTGTCCCTTTTATACAGTGATATACAATTTTAAGAAAACTAGTCAAGGGTATAATGAATTGTTACTTTGGAGCAGTATGTTTTTCCATGCAGAATTATCCCGTACAGGTTAGAACCCATAGCTATGTACCCTACCTGGCATTACAAAGAACAAAGTCAGACTCTAAAAAATACAATATCTCTAAATGTAGTATGAGCTGCTGCTGAGCAGTCTTAAAACTTTCCATTTATAGTTTCTGAAGTATAAAACATTCACTATTTGCTGCTTAACTTATACATAGCAATCATTATTTAAATTAGTTCCTCTATAAATTACAAACTAATAAGACATTTTTTTCATGTTTAAGTACTAAGACCACCTCTAAATATTTAAAAGAACAAATCATTTTATCAACCTTATACTGCTGAGCACAAGGTGGCACAGCTAGGTGGTACTGGGCCTGGAGTCCAGAAGACCTGAGTTCAAATCCAGCCTTATTAGATACTTATTTGCTGTGAGACCCTAAGTAAGTCACTTTACCTCTGTGTGCCTCAGTTTTCCCATCTGTAAAATGAGAATAATAATAGCATCTAATTCTTAGGGTTGTTGTGAGGATAAAATGAGATAATCTTTGTAAAGGACTCTGCAAACTTTAAAGCATTGTATTTGTTGTTGTTCATTTGTTTCAGGCATGTCTGATTCTGTGTGACCTCATTTGGGGTTTTCTTGGCAGAGATACTGGAGTGGTTTGCCATTTCCTTCTGCAGCTCATTTTACAGATGAGGAAACTGAAGCAAACAGGGATAAGTGTCTTGCCCAGGATCACACAGCTAGTAACTGTGTAAGGCCAGATTTTTTTTTTTTTTTGATGAGGCAGTTGGGGTTAAGTGAATTGCCCAGGGTCACACAGCTAGTAAGTATCAAGTGTCTGAGACCAAATTGGAACCCAGGTCCCCCTGACTCCACTGCACCCCCTCTAAGGCCAGATTTTTAACTCAGGTCTTCCTGACTCGAGGCTTAGCACTATCTACTGTGTCACCTAGATGCCAAAGCATTATATAAACACTAGCTATTGTTATTGTTATTATTTACCTATAGTATTAGTCTCTGAAGATTTAATCTCTTCTATAGGAATTTCTAGGTCTGCCTACAATTTTGAATACCAGTGTTGAAAGCAGAATTTAAAGTCTTAAGATGATTTTTAAATAATTATCTTTACCGCTTGACTTTTAGAGAAGTTGTTTGCTAATAATGAATGTGTGTTTTTTCATACGTAGCTGCAAAAGCATATTGTAGAGGTTTATCACACAGCTTCTTCCCTGGGTCAAAAGACACCTGAAGAAGAGGAAGAGGAAGAGGAAGAGGATGAGGATAAACAGGAAGTAGCAAAAAGAGATAGTGGCTTACCCAATTATCTACTTGGAAGTTTATGTACAAGCTTTGGTATAGATGTAAGCATGTTGAATAGCCAATTGGAACTTCATACCAGAGAGGAGAAAATCAACCAGATTGTATTATTGAAGGTGAACTATTTTTATCTTTGAAATCAGTAGAGCTTTCTTATGAAGTGCTTTTTTTAGGTTGCATGCTAGATTAAGGTGCAGATTAATGTTTTCCCCTTTTTAAGTTGATATAGATCTGAATAGAGATGGCTTCAGAGCCTGGAAGACCCAGATTCAAGTCCTATCTCTGACGTGAATTGGTTGTGTGACTCTAATCTCTTAATGCCCTAAGCACTAAAACTTTAAATTGCTGATTTGCATTGTAAGAGGGACTTTCCTCACCAGTGGGCTCTTTATAGCAATGAAATATCACAGGTTTAGTCCCTATCCCTATCCTATATACTGTTTTATAATAGTATAGAAAATATACAGAATTTGGATCATTGTGACATAGCCTGTATGGGATACATAAGGAGTACATTGCATTAGTGTCCCACATTATAATTAATACAACCCTGGGATGCCAGTCCCACCTTTGGGCAATAGTTCCTTTCTTTTTTTTTTTTTCAAATCAAAAAGCCTTTAACTTTAAGTGATGTGTGTATGTGTGTCTGTGTGTACAATGAAAATCCTGTTCCCATACCATTTTATTTATTTATAAATGGTAAGAAAAAAAATTCTGATCTCATGACAACATAAAGTCTTTTTTCTCATCTTTGCTCCTAAACCACCAAATGTCAGAGAATAGAAAATAGAGTATAGATATACTCAACATATTTTTGATTGAGTGAAACCTTCAGTTAAAAGTCAACCCAAAGGAGATAGTTCAGCATGATATCTATGCTGGTGCCTTTACCTTTTGGCAATGGGGAGCCTCTGAAGATTATTGTGCATTATTGGGATTAAGATTATTGGGATAACTTTGAATCACTGAATTTTAGAGCTGGAAATTACTTTAGCTCATGTAGTCTAAACTTCTCATTTTGTAGATGAGGGAACTGAGACTCAGAGAGTGAAATGACTTGTTCAAAGTCATAGTTGATAATAGAATCCTCATCTCCTGATCCCTACTTCAGTACTCTTTTTTATCATATTCTATGAAAAAGTATTCTTTTAGGAAAATTTATCTGATTTTGATTTGCAGGATAGATTTAGAAGCAGGGAGATAGTGAAGAGTTGTTAAAATTGTGGAATAATATTACCATTAAAACTGCAACCTTTAATCAATGTGTGGTATTTCAGGACATTATTTACAAGATTAAAACCATTTTTAATAAGGAGTTTGATGCCACCTTTCAACAAAAAAAGTTGGAAATAGCACGTGTGAGGGAAAGAAATATAAGAATTAAAGAAATCATCTCGAATCTAGAACTTGGAGAAGAGGTCTGGCAACCAGAAATAGAGGATTGCGAGAAGCCAGACTTAATTCTCACAGTAGAAGACGATGAGGTACTGTTCAGCTTTTTCATTCTTTCCTTACCTTCTCATGTCACTTTCATGGTTTTTTCCCAGCTTTTTCATTAGTTAGATTGCTAACAGAAGCCGCAGACAGAGATGATGTCAACAATAGCAGTAATTATGATAATTACAATGACAGCTCATTCATCTCATGCTTTACAACTTATGAAGCATTTTCCTCACAGCTTTATGGGTCAAAGAAAGTGTTATACTCATTGTAATAATAAGGAAAATGAGGGTCAGAAAAGCTAAGTGATTGGCTCACTTTTAGCAGTTAGTTGTCATAGCAAGTAGTTGTCATAGTCCATTTCCGCAGTGGTGGGACTTGGGTACCAGAAATGTGAAAAGCAGTAGCTCTTTCATTATGACATAGTGCTTAACTCACAGAAAGAAAGGCATGAAGTCTAATTTGAACCAGTGGGATTGGAGTACAAAAACAAGGGAAAATGAGTTCAGAACAAAGAATACCCCCAGGGCTTAATGGCCACAGCAGATGGTTTCTGGCCATGATTGCAATGATCTTTGGGCCACAGTAGAAATAAGAAGGGGCCCATGATTCTCCTGTGAGAGCCTGGGACTGGCATAGTTAAGCCCTCATTCCTCCTTCAACAGATGAGATTCCTGGATCATTCATCCTCTCCACCAGGACAGCTCAAATGACAGGCCAGGACCAGATCTTTTATACAGATGAGAAACTGATCCTAGTAACCTCCTCACTTATGGGCTCTGGGACTAGAGGCCAATGAATGCACGGCCTCCACCTTTAACTTCATAAGCAAATCAATACAAATAGCTCATAAGAGTAATTGCATGGGAATCTAATTACATGATATGCTAGGGCATAGGGGTCCTAAAATGAGCAATAAAAATAATAGCTAGCACTTATATAGTGCTTTAAGGTTTGCCAAGTACTTTACATGTGTTGTCTTCATTGATCCTTAAAACAACCCAGCAAGGTAGGTGCTAGCAATGGGTTTCACTGACTTGCAACTTAGTCACCAGATAATTTAAAATCAATCAATAATCAATGCATATTTACTAAGCACCTACTATATGCCAGGGTTTGTGCTAAGTGCTGTGAATACAAATGTGGAAAAGAAAGATGATCCTGGCCTTCAAGGAGCTTACAAGAGAAGACAACACACAATAGAAGCTAAAAGGGGAGGAGAGTGGTGAAGGAAGATGGTACCCAGCACTGAGGCATGGTAGAGAAGACAAAGAAGTAAAAGATGAGCGTAGCTAAATGGAAAATGAGGAGATATCTGAGTAGATGTTGGACCTGTACCCCTGCTTAAATGGAGGAGTTTGTAGTTCCACCTCTAAGAAGAGGGGCAGAGGATACTGTTAAAGTGTGAGTAACAAAGGCTGATTGGATCTTGCAAGATGACGAGATTTCCTAATGATGAGTTTGGGGAGGAGGGGAGTGGTATGGTGAAGAAGCCAGAGTCCAAAATGCCAGGTGGCAAATGAGGAGATGATTTATAACTGCTTCAAACCAAGGGGTTTACAAAGTTTACATAAGGGCACAGGGGTGACAGAATTGAGTAGAACGATTCCTTGAGACATTCTTTCCCTTGATAATTTATGCTGCCTCAGTAGAATAGTTGGGTCCTGAGCCTAGGACTTCTGACTGGTTTCAATATCCATTCCATTATAACATGCTGGTTCTCACTAAGGGAAGTAAAAAATGCTTAGGACCATATTTAGCTAGGAAAAAAATGAATCATAGGATCATAGAGTTACAGGTAGAAGGAACCTTAGAGATTATCAAGTCCAACTTTCTCATTTTAGAGATGAGGAAACTGAGGCCCTGAGAAGTTAAGTGACTTACCCAGGGTTATAGAGCTAGTAAGCATTGGAGGCAGGATTTCAACCCAAGTCTAGCATTCTATCTCCTACATCACTTGGCACCATACTTACAAAGAATTAATGTTTCATATGATACCTCTTATACCAAAGCAACAACAACAACAACAAACAATATTATCCAACATTTATAGAGCAAAATGCTTTAAAAATATTAGTTAATAAATAAACATTTATTAAACACCTACTATGTACCAGGTATTGACCAAGTACTGGAAATACAAAAAGAAGCAGAAGACAGTCCCTGCCTTCAAGGAGTTCACAATCTAATAGTGGGAGACAACAAGCAAATAAATATCTAAAACCAAGCTACATATAGGATAAATAGGAAATAATTATAATGGGGGGGGTGGAGCCAAGGCAGAGACTCACCTGAGCTCTCCCAAATTCCATTCCAAATTATTTTAAATAATGCCTCAAAACAAATTCTGGACCCACAAAAGGATAAGGTGACACAAATTTCCAGCCCAAGACAACTTAAAGGGTTGAAAGGAAAGATCTATCACACTGGAGTAAGAGTGGAGAGTGCTGCAGTATAGACTACAATAGTGCAAGCCTCACCCCAGCAAACCAGTAGCAGGCCTTGGGGGCAACTGAATCAGTGGCAGCAACAGTAGTTTCTCAGCCCACTGAAGGCAAGTGAGTCAGGCTGGTCAGAAGGAGATTTCAGGGTCCTTTTGGGGCACTGGGTGCAGGATTGTTGCTTTGCGCATACTTGGATCTGGGTCTCAGTCCTGGGTCATAGTCCCAGGGTGAAGAGGAGCACTAGCATACCAGACCTTGTGGCCTCATGGGAGTGGGGACCCTGGTCAAAGTTCCAGGACTGAAAAAAGTGCTTGTGGTCTCTCATAGACCAGAGAAGAGGCCAGGAGAGTAGTAAACACACCTCTCCTTAGACCATACCACCCTGGAAGAACTGAAAGCTTATAAACCCCCCGAACTAGCTCTGAAAACAGCAGCACAAAAAACCTGAAGCTTGGGACAGCGCCATCTCCACCCTGGGAGCAGAGCCCAACTTTAATATAAAACTAAAAGTCAAGAAATATGCTGGAAAAATGAGCAAACAACTGAAAACCTACCCTGACCTTAGAAAGTTACTAAGGTGACAGGGAAGATCAAAACACAAACTCAGAAGACAACAAAGTCAAAACTGCTACATCCAAGGCCTAAAAGAAAAATGTGAGTTTGTCTCAGGCCCAAAGAAAGAATTCCTAGAAGAGCTCAAGAAGGATTTTAAAAATCAAATAAGAGAGATAGAGGAAAAACTGGAAAAAGAAATGATAGTGATGAAAAAAAAGTCATGAAAAAAGAGTCAATAATTTGGCAAAGGAGGCACAAAAAATACTGAAAATAACACCTTAAAAAATAAAATAGGCCAACTGGTAAAAGAGGCACAAAAATTTAATGATGAGAAATTGTAAAGCAATTAAAAATTAGAAAATTATAAAGCAGAATTGGCCAAATGGAAAAAGATGTACAAAAATTTATTGCAGAAAAGAACTCCTTAAAAAGTATAATTGACCAATTGGAAAAGGAGCTATAAATGCTCACTGAAGAAAATAAATTTTTAAAAAATAGAATTGGGCAAGTGGAAGCCAATGACTCAATAAAACATCAAGAAAGAATAAAACAAAATCAAAAGAATGAAAAATGAAAAAATAGAAGAAAATATAATATATCTCATTGGAAAAACAACTGACCTGGAAAACAGATCAAGGAGAAATAATTTAAGAATTATTGGACTACCTGAAAACCATGATTTTTTTTCTTTTTTTTAAAATTAATATATTTTGATTTGTCAACAGTCACTTCTGGGGACAGCTAGGTGGTGCAGTGGATAGAGCACCAGCCCTGGATTCAGGAGGACCTGAGTTCAAATCCAGCCTCAGACACGTAACACTTACTAGCTGTGTGACCATGGGCAAGTCACTTAACCCCATTGCCTAGCCAAAAAAAACAAAAACAAAAACAATCACTTCCATATGTTTTTGAGTTTAAAATTTTTCTCCCCTTTCCTCCCTACCACCCTCCCCAAGATGGCACACAATCTGATATAGGCTATACATACACATTTTTCTATTAAACATATATTCATATTAGTGATGTTATAAGTAAGAATTAGAACCAATAGGAGGAACCACCAGAAAGAGGAAACAAAACTCAACAGAAGAAAAAAAATGCAAATTTCTTTCTTTGGATGTGGATAGCATTTTCCATCATGAGGCCTTTGGAGATATCTTAGATCCTTGTATTGCTGAGAAGAGTTAAGTTTATCAATATTAGTCATCACACAACATGGCTGTTATTGTGTACAATGTTCTCTTGGTTCTGCTCATTTCACTCAGCATCAGTTCATATAAGTCTTTCCAGGTTTTTCTGAAGTCTGCCTGCTCATGATTTCTTTTTTTTTTTTTAATTTATTTATTTTTATTTTTAGGCAGTTGGGGTTAAGTGACTTGCCCAGGGTCACACAGCTAGTAAGTGTCAAGTGTTTGATCTGAGGCCGGATTTGAACTCAGGTCCTCCTGACTCCAGGGCTGGTGCTCTATCCACTGTGCCACCTAGCTGCCCCCTCATGATTTCTTATAGCACAATAGTATTTCATTACATTCATATACCACAACTTGTTCAGCCATTCCCCAATCGATGGGCATCCTCTCAATTTCCAATTCTTTGCCACCACAAAAGAGCTGCTATAAATATTTTTGTACATGTGGGTCCTTTTCCCATTTGTATGATCTCTTTGGGATATAGCCCTAGAAGTGCTATTGCTGGGTCAAAGGGTATGTACATTTTTATAGCTCTTTGGGCATAGTTCCAAATTGCTCTCCAAAATGGTTGAATCATTTTACAACTCTACCAGCAATGCATTAGTGTTCCAATTTTCCCACATCTTCTCCAACATTTATCATTTTCTTGTTTTGCCATCTTGGCCAAACTGATAGGTGTGATGTGGTACCTCAGAGTTGTTTTGATTTGCATTTCTCTAATCAATAGTGATTTAGAGCATTTTTCCATATGACTATAGATATATATATATATAGCCATGATTTAAAAAAAAGAGCCAAGATGTCATCTTTCAAGAAATTATCAAGGAAAATGCCCTGATATTCTAGAACTAGAGG